GCATTGTATTTTATTCACCACAATAACTCCAGGGGGAAGGTATTATTACCACCATATTACAAATGAAGAAATTGATTAAAAAAAAATACCTTAACTAGCCAGCAGTCGATCTAAGAATGGAGCCAGATTGTCCTAACCATCACACACTTTCCAGCCTCCAACTCACAACTCAGATCATTTTTATCATCCTATAAATATATATATATAAAGCATTGTGAATTTTCCTACTAAATAACTGAATTAAAATTGAAAGTGGTACCAATTAAGAGGTCAAGCCTTGGGTAATAAAAATCAAGACTAGATGTGGTTGTTCCATTCTGTTGGGAGTGAATGGCTACATTGGGGATGATGCTAAAACCTTTGGCCTTTTTTGAAGGACAACATGTTGACTAAGGCAAGGAAACCGAAATTATTTTACACATGCCATCAATCAAGATGGAAAACAATTTTGAATAAAGGCAAACAAAGAGCTACTGATGTAGTTCCCTTGTTATAAGAGAAAGTGGCAACTCAAAACTCCTCTCCATGCTGATGCCACCAGAAAGCCCTCTCTCTCTTTCTACTTCTCCTCTGCTTCCTCCTACTTGGAACTCCTAGATATTAGTGGGTCTTGAAATCCATTTAGAAATTTATACCCAGGATTTAATAAAAATGTTAGAACATAAATAAACATACTAAGACAGAATCCAAGCATATCATATTTAGTAAAAGTATTTTTTTCCCTGAAGCTTTTGTTTTACTTCTATGTGTGTTCATGTGTGTGATTTGAATGGGTTATATAATGTATTCATTACTAGTGGCCACAATGAAAAAAGCTCAATAAAAACCCTTAAGTATGAAAACATACTTTTTGCTTAATTTTGATTATCATGTTCAATTATCATGGACCATCCCCACTCTCACACGGACAGGTAGTTATTTCTTTCATTCTCTCATTCTTCGTATGACACTGTTGAATTAGAACATTGATTTAAAATTATAAAAGTCTGAAAAGGAAAAGCACACAGGATTTTTTTTTAAAAATTCTTTCTTACTTAATTAAAAAAAATAAGTTCATCACTGAGAACTTGGGGAATTTAAGATTAATTAGGCTGTTATCACAGAAAGAACACCAGAATGATGGGCTATGAGTTTCTGTGCTTTTTTGTGGTTTCTGAAGAAATAGTTAACAAATGAAGTGCTCTGTAATCAGAAGGTTGACCTCATCAATGATTCTAGTTAAGACAACCAAGGGAGCAAATGGAAAGGCGTTAAATTTTGAGGTCCATGAGGAAACACACACACACACACACACACACACACATTAATGTTTGCCAAATAGACTAAATCAGAAGGGGAATAGAAAATGTGATTTTTTTTGAATAGTTGGAAGAAGTATAAACTATGGCAGATAAAAATGGAAACCATTGGAAAGGAGTTCTTATAATCCCAGCTTTGGATGTTACTGCAAAAGATTCTAATCACCAAGTTATCTTTATTAGTATTATTATTGTTATTACTGATAATAAACATGTGCTGACTGCCAACAGGATGCCAGGCTCTGCAAAAGAGAGAATTAAGCTCAGTCCCTGCAGTGCAGGCTTACAACAGATTATAATTGCAATAGAAAATCATATTAATAGCAATTCAATATTTTATTAGAAAAATAACATTGCTTTTCTCCTCACTCTGAGTTCTCTACCAGCAAGTAGAATACTGACTCTGACAATGATGGTCCTTGGACCATAAAGCCCATAAATCTCCCACTAAGAATTTCTCCTCTGCAATTTTCCAGCATCAAACACGTCTTTGCTTCTGCTTTCATATGATCAAGTGAGGTCATCCGGCTTTTGTTCAGGGTTCTACCTTTTGGATCAAGTACATAGAGGTGACTGAGTTTATAGTAGCTGCCCTAAGCAATGGTTTCAAAACCGCCCTTTGCAGTTATTAGTGGGTCTTGAAATCCACTTAGAAATTTATACCAAGGATTTAATAAAAATGTTAGAACAAAAATAAACATATTAAAACAGAATCCAAGTATATCATATTTAATAGGAGTAATTTTCCTGAAGTTTTGTTTCACTTTTATGTATGTTCATGTGTGTGATTTGAGTGGGTTATATAATGTATTTTTTACTATTGGCCACAATTTAAAAAAAAGCTTAATTAACCCTAAAAGTATGAAAACATACTGTTTGCTTAATTTGAACTTTAGATTCCACCCAAACCCATAACCATACTAGGCCATAAATGTAATTTTCAAAAGAATCCAACTATTCCTTTTACCACATGAAAAATCAACTAGTATTAAATATGTTACAATGACCTTACTTTCTAGAATTAGTTATAAATTCAAATATTTTTTTCCTTTGCCACCATCAATATATCCAGACTTGTTAGAGTTGAGGTCCTATTGATTTATAAAATACATGTATTATGTGAAGACATTTGTAAATCTATTTATATTTCTATATATTCTCTGATTATGATAGGCTTTTCCTTCCTACATGATTTTTCAAAGGTCTCTACTTGGACTGACCAGAGCTAACTAATATATATCTTGCTAAACCTGCAATAGAGGTTGCCCCTCACATTCCCTCCACCCAGTCCTCACCTGCCCACAACAAGGAAAGCTTTCTAATCTCAATTCTAGAACTTAGCCTATAACTAACATATTGCCAGGAAAGTTCTGACTATATCAGATAAGTCAGATCATTGATTACATCTTCCTCATAGGACACTCTTTCTTTATTTTTATTCCAGGTACAGTTCCTATGTTCTGGTACTTACTAGATCATTTTAAGATCACATAGGTTAAAGAGTAGGTTGACATGCTTTCATAACTTTTCTTTCTTTCTTTCTTTTTTTCTTTGTTTGTTTAATCCCAGTAAAAAACATTTCAAATGGAGGCGGAGAAAAGTATGCGTGAGTGAATTATCAAGATAATCTTCCAGCAAGGACTCTGCAGGGGACTGTAGACGCCAGGGTAGCAAAATATGTAGCAAGGGCCATTAGTGTGAAGAGGCTTTGCCTAGTGATATTTCAAACAAAGACAAAAACAGCTTCAGGAGAGAAGTTACAAATCCACAATTCCAGGGATGCTTCTAATTGTTAATCCTAAATAGACTTTGTTTCTACTGCTCCTGGAAAAATCCCCAGAAATTTTTATATTCTAAGCTCACAAAATCCTCAGGATCCCACTGTTGGCCAGCATAAATGGCCAGTATAAATACTTATATATTAACATAAATATAAACATAGAGTTATATGGTTGCTTAGAAGGAAACTAATTATTGATAAGTTGATTTATTTATAATTTAAACTCCCACCAACCATCCAAAAGGGCATATAGGTGGCCAGTAGTTTAAATGCAATGCAAAATAAGACATTTGAAGATAAAACAGAGTAAAACTGTTCTCACAGAGAAGGGGAGACTAGATGCTTCCAGTATCTCGAGTTTAGCAAATTATAACACTTGACCAAGAAGTCTGGATGTCAATTTTCTGGCAACTAAGGTCAAAGTGGAAACAAAAGTGAACAAAATGGACATGATTTCTCCTGGAATTGAGGCAAGCAGAATTGTACCACGTGATCCTTATTTAAGGAACAATGAACGTGGCCTGGGTGTCAGCTCACTTGGTTCTAGTAATATCCCTGCCTCTAATTTACTGTGTTGAAAGTAGTTTCACCTTTGCATTATTTATCTATGCAATGGGACAGTGAAGGGGAAACTTGGGGTTGAAGACTTGCTAAGGTCCTGTTAAACATTAACAGATTCCTTGAGATGTGGATAGATGTAGAGATACAATGATATTTTAAACAAAGAGTTACATTAACCGATACTAAACAGTATAGAAATTAAAAAATAACACTTGTGTGAAATTAGCTAGCTGCCATTTTTCCATATAAAGTATTAGAGTTATCCTTTCTTATGCACAATCCTAAAATCCATTGCTCGCTCTCTTGCATTTATTCAGTTATTTCTCTCCCTGTTTCAACCACTCATTGCACAGCTCCCTGTCTTATTTTCTGCCTCCAACTTTAAGCCCCCTTACTCATCTGCCAACCTGCTTCGAGGTCAATTTGTAAGAGGTGAATGTCTTTCACAGACTTTCCAGCAACCACTCAGCACTAGCAGGATACAGTGCAATCTCTCAGCTCCCCATTCAAAGTGCCCATGACCTCCACCCGCTTCCTTCTCTGAGCTTACATCTTTCCACAGCCTCCTTGAGTCCTATTGCATTATTCAGTCGTTCAAAACTACTCACAGATCCCCAGGGACTCATCATGCCTCCCTTCCCTTGCACATACCACTTTCTCCCCCCAATATTTTTTTTTTTTTTGCCACCACACTTCCCTCTTCACCATCTTTCAAGAGTCTATTAAATTTTTGCCTTTTCTATGAAAACCTAATTGGCATTCTCTTCTCTAGAATATCCCTACTGATCCCTCTTTACCTCATTGTAAGGTATACAGATTCTATCATGGCTCCCAGGACTTTTTCTTACTTATATGTATGTTTTTCTTCCTCAATCTTTAGCAGCAGGAGGCTTGAAACATTTACTATTTTTATCCCTGGAACTCAGGGAGTGATTGTGGAATGAATGGAATGTTGGATGCTCTCCCTAATTTCTAACTCATAAAAATCCCAACAAAACCTCTTTTTGTTTATCCTCAGAGCCTCCCCACATGGACTCTTCTGTAAGAGCTCTGTTCCCCTTCCCCACCCAGTGTTGTTACCCCACAAGTCCTGTTCTATACAACTGCCTAGTTCTTCACCCTCTTTAGACTTAGTTCTCTATCTGACTCATTCATGTTTTATAGTCCCACTTCCTGTTTCTCATCAGCCATATTCCTTTTAGCAACTTTTTATTTGTCTATTAAATACTTTGCCCATTTCTGGCTATCCAAAAACACCAACTGTGCTTGTTGAAAAGCAATATTGCTTGCTAAATTGATTTTTGCTATTAGATCATATCCAGAAATATCTTCTTTAAAAACAAAACAAGCCCAAACAGAAAGACAGTATAACAATGGTTAACGAAGACCATGCGGTAAAACAGATTGGCTGACGGTCTGGGCTCTGTAGATAGTCGTGGATTTGAACCTTGCCTCCCATCCTAACCCACTGGGTGACCTCGGGCAAGTTGCTTGACTTCTGAATTGGATGGCTTATCTGTGAAAGAGGAGAATCACAGGTATATTTGTATTGTTGTGAGGACTAAACAAATGTAGCCAACAATAAATAATCAATAAGTGATAACTGTTATATTGTCAATTTTTGATGATGTTGGTGATTACTATTATTAATTCAATGCACCTCTGGTATTACTTTGAAGAATATAGCTAGTGACACCTTTGGGTTTAGACTGTGACTCAAAGTGTGTTTGTGAAGCTGGTTTTCGTTTTTTAGTATCAACATAAGAGGTTCCCTGAGAATCTTTGCTGTCAGTTTATTTTTTAACAAGGGCTTATGCTAACAGATTATTATTCCACAGTGATTTCATCTGGAGTCAATACTGAGCCCAACCTGGAATCTGAAGCCCTGGTGTAATTCTCCATATCAAAAGCCAGGCTCTGGGAGACAGTCGTACACTGCAAAGCAGCATTGGCTTTTCTGGGCTTGTTGCATTATCGTTGCAGTTGTTTTTATTATTATTCTCATTTTTTTTTCAATAAGGAGCTGAGAACCACTAAAGGAAAAAGAAAAAGACTCTGTAGCCTCAATAATGTGATAAAGTGTCATTGGCAGCAGGAATTTGCAGGATCTCACTGTCGACCCAGGTAACAGCTTGTGACATTGTCTTGGACAAAGGAAATCACTCTCTTTGATGAACACTTTGGGATGATTTTCAGCTTCTGATATTCTCTTCCTCTTAGACAGCTACTGTAACAAAAGCCTGTAGGGAGAGCTCAAGCTTCGCCTATTTACAATACCCAACACTGACTCTGTATTTTAATTTAAAAAAACAACCTCAGAGCTTCGATCACTTTCATATTTAATATTTTGTCTTAAAATAGCTCTCTATTTTATTTTGCTTTTGAAAATTAAAACATAGTTTATACGATGGGCAACAGGGAAAAAAAGAGAGAGAGAGAAAGAAATGGTGAATCAGAAGCAATGACTTTAACAACTGAAGCTCATCTCTTCCCCTCTTGAGGCAAGGTAAGTGGCAAGTGCTATGGCATTGCTGATTCTCACATGCCAACTCAGACCCAGGCAGAACAGCATGCCATCGATTTCAGCAATCTCTGTGTATTTCTGAGAAAACGCCTACACTCAAATGCACATACACACACACAGACCGTTAAACTAAGTAAATTCTACAATGAGCCACCTGTCTGTTAAACATGATTACACAAATGTGATTTAAGATGCTTACTGAGTTTTCCCTTCAATTCCTGTTTTGTAGACAAATTGGAAACCACCTGTGGACTCCAGACCATGGTGTGACCCTTTTCTGGCTCCTTTCCAAGCTCAAAATCAGTAGAATAATTGCCAGCCTGGGTTCAAGCCTTTCCCAGCTCCTGAATAAGTTACCGACCAGTGAAACAGTACACAAAAGCACCTGCAAATCATATAACTTGGTCAATCACTTCAAAATCTCTCTCTGGCTTTTTGCAGGCTGGGCTTCATGCTGCCTGACGCAGCACGCTGGTTGTGTTCAGCCATTATGCAATGATGTTCCATGTTGCCAGTAAACCATGGCTTTATGCCACTGTTCAGTATAGCAACTCCATTTAGCTTTATTTATTGGATTTTTAAATCCTCTTGTACAGTAGGTGTTGATCTCTCCTGAAGTTGTGATTACAGCTCTAACTATTGACACTTCATTCACAGCCAATTCCTCCATTCTTTGCCCTCACGCTGACATGAAATGGTAGTTCTTTCAACTCTGCACTCTCTAAGCCCTTGACCCTGGTCCCACACATTTTTGCCCCAAATACAGAATAGGGAGTACAGGTCTGCCAATTAGTTCATTTCCTTAGCATCTTGGAATCCCCAAATTGTCTTTCATTGCTGTACGGCTTCTTTAAGGAGGCAGGATCTGTAGAGGTAAGATTGAACTGACATACCAAAGGGCTCTGAGATCCATTTACCTCTAAACAGCTGTCTCTCTCCCATCCAAGAATTTGGTTTTTGTTTTGTTTTGTTTTCCTTTATCTGCCTGGGACACTGTCTATCAAGTTATTGAAATAGTCGATAGCTCTTATTCAGGAGAGATTCTGCCTTTCTGTTAGTTGCCTTATATGAGGGATAAACTTTGGAAGTTTCAGCGGTTTCAGTATGTTGGAGAAAAAACCTACAATGAAAATTAAAAACCCCAAGTTTGAATATCAACTTAGCCATAAATTAGTTGTGTGATTTTTTTTTTTTTAGTAACTTGACTTCTCTGAACCTCAGCTACCTCATTTATGAAATGAGAGGACCACAGTCTTCCTCACAGCCTGACTCTGCAGCTTGAATGAGAAAACGTTCACCCAAGTATCTGACACTCGCGGGATTGTCTGTCAGTTTTCGTTTCATTTCCAATGTTGCCCTTTGCTGTCTTAGGTTCACCAGACCAATTATTGCCCACAAAAGACAAGACAATCATTCTGTCATATTTCTTCACCCCGGTGTAGGTCAGATTAAGGAGTTTGATCTTATCATTCTGCTGTTGACTTGTGTTATCCTTTCTGGCCTTTTCTTGGTGCCTGGAATTCTCCCTGTATTTACTCCTTTTAGTGGAAACATTGATTTAATGAGGCTTAATGGGTTTCTAACCTCTTACTTAGGTGATCCAGAAGTCTGCAGTTCTAGCATATATTTACTTTGGCTTTAGAATACGTTGCTGCAGGTGGGTCTGGGATCTTAACAGAAAATTCCCGAAGATTCCTTAATGGAGAAATAAATAAGCCTTGTAGAAAAGCATTCTGTATTTTGGGCAGAGGAGGTCTAATTCAGTGTAATGCAATTTCAACAAGAAAAAAAAAAAAACAAGAAGAGTGATGAAAGATAGGGTAGCTCCCTTTCCTTTAAAGAGTTAAGCAGAAAAATTAACTCTTGGTGTGAGAGGACCAGCACAGTGGAGGGCAGATTTTATACCGGTTGTGTAAAGGCTTAAGTTTGCTATCTTTCTTCTTGTTTTTGAAATGTGAAAAAGAGGAACAAGGAACTATTTAGAGAAAGAGAATCTATGAGAAATAACAGATTGTCAAAGTATTTTGTTGTGACTTTCCTAGAGACCAAAGCCAGAGTCTCAAGAAAAGTTACATAATAGAGCACTAACAAACATTTATTAACAATTATTATATAAGGGATGGGGGAGCATGTGTAGGCATAGAGTGGGGTGCTTTGTGTTTAGTGGCCAAATGTCTAAGAAATTCTGAGATCAAATTAGACAAGTATCTCTATTACAAAAATTCTAAGAATCTTTGATATGTTGCTATATGTTATGAAACATCAAGAAGTCAAGCGTGCCTGTGTTACGAATTCAATTCTCCTAAGAACCTGTTTTTAGAGAGCATATTAAAAAACTAGTCTTCAGCAGAATACTTTTCACACTGAGACTCTGTCAAAATGTGGAAGACCCATTAATGTCAACGAATAGGAAGATTTTTGACATAAAACTTGCCTAAATTCCTATACTCTGTAAGATTCAGGATATCTTTTTGTCAAGATAGAAGCCAGGATGAAGAAGAAAGAAAGAAGGAAAGGAAGGAAGAGAGGGAGAGAAGGAAAGAATGGAAAAAAAAAAGAAATCCAAAGTATCAAAGCCCAGTGAATAGGGTATTGTGATTTAGTGATAGGAGGACTCAAATAAAAAGAGACATGGTTAGAGTATTGGAGCAGAATTCACAAAAACAGCATTCTGGCCAAGAACCTGCTCCCATCAGCCACGTAACTGTAGAACCACAACCAGTTCTTTATGACTTAGGTGCCATTCTCCATAAAATGAAGAATATAGATGAAAGCTAAGTTCTCTGTCAATATTATCATTCATAGAATCACATACCTCAAGGTCACCTCAGAAACCATGTAACTACTCAATTCCTATTGCTACCCCAAAAAGATGGACATCAGGCTCAATTTGGACCTTTCAGTACAGAGAATTCACATCCTGACAAAGTCCACTCCATTTTGAACAGATCTAACTGCAAAAAGATTAGTGCTGTTGCTCATTTTGAATCAAATATTTATTTAACTTCTATGTATTTGTCCTTATTTTGCAATCTAAAATCACAAAGAATTAGTCTAAACCTTTAAAAATGTGGTAGTAGCCACTATTGTCTCCCATACGTAATTTCTTCTCTAGCATAAATATCCCAATTTCCTTTAATCATTTTTCTGACAAAGTTTAGTTTTCCTCAACACACTCATCACTATCTTTTGAATACGTTATGGGTTTTCAATGTCTGTGTGTACATTATAATACCACATATATATTAAGCATTTGCTATGTTCATATGTATTTTATATATATATATATATATATATATATATATATATATATATATAATATATATGAAGCAATGATGGTGTATATCAGGCACTGTTCAACCCAATTTAATTATGTACATTAACACATTTAATTCTCTCAGAAATCCTGTGAGATATTTTAAATATTTTCACTTTTCCTTAGATGAGGAAACTACAGTATAATCTACATCAGTGCCTTTCAAACTTTAATGTACATAAAAGATGTCCTGAGTTTTTGTTAAAATTTATATTCTAACAGTAGGATTTCTGTGGGACCTAAAGTTCTACATGCTCCCAAGTGATATTGGTGCTTGCTACTGGTCCAAGGACCTTAATTAAAATGGAAAAATTCATATTATGCAAAATGCTAAAATAATATAAAGTGATAATATAAAAAAGCCTTAAACTGCAGTAGCAATAAATATTGTTAGTGATGTTATAGGAGGTTTCAGAGAATTATATTTATTTTTCCAGCTTAGACCCTTATCTGGAGATCTTCTTCCTACCAACAAGAACTGGCTTACAAAATCTTTTTGACCACTGAAGTAAACCATAACAATAACAAAACAATAACATTTTTTAAGCACTTGCCATGCGTCAACACCTAAAACATCTTACATTATTCCATGCTTCCAACAGTCCTGTGAGGTAAATCATACCATCATTGTACTTATAAAGAGAAAGCTCAGGCAAAGAAGAATGAAACTAATGTTTTCTTGTTTCTTGTTAGAGGAAACAAGAAGATTGGGTAGACTGGAAGATTGGGTAGACAAAGATCGCACCTCTAATAAATAGTAGAACTAGGTACAAACCTCCTGACATCCTGTATTTGAGTCCAGTAGGGAAAGGTCACTTCTTGGTGGACAGATATGGACCCATGTTATCTGTGATAGAGGCTAGAGTAAGAGTGAACACTAATCAAGTATATAAACAGAGGCCGCCGAAATGCTATAGTTAATAATAATGACCTTAAATATTTAAAATACTAGATGTAGCTCAGGTCCCAGGCTAGAGTCATCCGCATGCAAGTCCTGTCCTCTGTGAGCTCATAGTCCAGCTGGAAAGCCACTTACAAACAAATAACTCTCCAGCAGAATATCACCAGTCATAAACAGGGGTGCCTGGTGATGGGAAAGGAACAGGAAAGGCAGTCATCAGCTGGACTGGAGGTAGGAGCATCCCAGAGTGAACCATGAGAGCAAAGACAGGGACAGCTAATCTTACTTTGGCTTAGTTGTAGTAACACATAAGATTTAAATATATATATATATTTTAATTGTAGGTGGACACAGTAATAATTTTATTTATTTTTATGTGGTGATGAGGATCAAACATGCTAGGCAAGGATTCTACCACTGAGCCACAATTCCAACCCCAATACATAGGATTTTTTAAAAAAATATATGTTTCCTTCATTTCCTTCATCAAGTATCTTATTTTAATGGACCCCAGATTGTGTTCCTAAGGAAAACTGCTCTTAGGTAAAAACTGCAAAGTTTCTCCATTGTAAGTTTGATTTTCCTTTTAATATTTTTCTTCTTAAACTTGTTGGTACCAACTTTTGCTGGTCATTAAAGAAATATCTGGTAGAAGGGCTGGAGTTGTGGCTCAGAAGTAGAGCACTCACCTAGCATGCGTGCATTGGGTTCGATCCTCAGCACCACATAAAAAATAAAATACAATAAAATATATATATATATATGTATATATATATACAATGTATTAATACATATGTACATATATACATATGTTTTAAGCAATAGCTATGTGCATATGTATACTATATATAATATACATATATATGAAGCAATGACGGGTATATCAGGCACTGTTCAACCTACTATGTACACATTTAATTTTATATATATATATATATATATATATGTTATATATATAAAACAAATGTGCATTTGTTAAATGTGTGTGTGTGTGTGAGTGTGTGTGTGTGTGTGTGTGTGTATAAATATCTGGTAGACATTAGAGAAGCCTAGATTAATAATTATCCCTAGATTCTTTTCATCAATGTATTAGCATAAATCACTTTCCAAGGTATTGTCAAACACTAGTTTTCAGGGGCTATGCTGTATGAACAGTGTGCTCTGATTACTAAGAATTATTAAATTCACCAGTTTTAATCAACTTTATAGTTTGTATTTTTAAATGTGTATGGATATCAGGCCAGCACAGGTTACAAAGGGGAACTTGTCCTATACATCAGTAATATAGACAGATTCAAGTCCCTTGACTTTTTGTGAGACACGTGAGAGTATAAATAACAACAATAACAAAAAATGAATAAATAATTGAAGTTGGGGAATTTATGCTCAAAATTATATATGAAAGGAACTGATCGAGGAGCCCATGTGGATTACAGGAGCAGCATACGGCTTGTGGTTTGGACACTGTGACCAAGACATTTATCACCAGCTGGTACCACCATAGCTAGTTGCAAAAAAATATCCAGGGGTAGCAGAGACACTTGCAGCGCTGCACACTCTATAATTCTTATTTTGCTGAGACATAGCAAATATCATGTGGAGAGAAGTTTTTATCTATCTTTTTTGGAAGAAAGGAGAATAAAGAATCAAAAGAGAGAAGCAAAAAGGAAGGCTGGCAGGTACTGCCCGCCCTGCCACTTTTCAGAATAGCACTCTGTAGCCTCTTTTAAGGTGTGCTCTCTCTGAGTTCCACTATACCTGAGCATGGAGACATGTCCTCCCTATCAAAGGAGTGTGTTTGTTTATCCAGCAGGATTCTCTGAGTTGATTGATTGTCACTTTGATAGGTTCCAGGGAAATAGATGCCTCATGTTTACTAACATAGGAGTGAATGGTGCAGAAGAGAGAGTCAGGAGTGCAAAGAAAGATAATTAGTAAAGCATTGTTGTGCTGGTTAGTGGGGAGGTGTCTCTCAGAGAAGAGCAGCCTTGAAGAGACCAAGGGAAAGAAGGAAATGATGTTAAAGAAAGAGAAGATGCTTCTTTTAGAAAACAAGTAACCCCTAATCAGAATATGAAAAATGAGGGTACAGTTTTAGAAAGACTAAAAGGAAAGAGCTTTCTAGACAGAAAAAAAAAGCATGATATTCAAAGCCACAGAGATCTGAAAAAATAAGACCCATTTAAGAAATTGCAAATGTACACAGTAGATAGGGTGACTATAGATAAAGCAATGCACTGTATACATTAGAAAAAGCTAAAAGACGAGATTTTGAAAGTTTTCACCATAAAGACATAATCAATTTTGGATGATATAAATATTTAAATTGACTTAAACATTATGCAATGTAGACAGGTATGAAAACATAACATGATACCACATTAGGGTGTACAATTTTTATTTTTATATGCAGATTAAAATATATTAAAAGTAAAAAAAAAACAAAGTCTTTTTAAAGAGCAAAAAACATTAATTAATTAAAAACAGCAATTTGTCACAGCTGTAGTTTAGGTGGTGCTTCTTGCAACACCCTTATTTCCTATGGTGTTTGCTTAGAGATGCCATTGAGTTGTATGGTAACGGATTAAACAGACACTGAAAGTTGGAAGCAAGGGAGAGGCAATGGCCAATAGGACTGGAGAGGTGTGACTAGAACGGAATTAACTTTAGTCATAGATTGCCCATGGGGAGTGAGGCAAATGACCTGATAAGAATGATCCCTGGGATTGGTTTAGGAGTATATAAATGGTGGTGCCATTTGATAGACACATGGGCACCTACTATAATTTTAAATTTCCCATTATAGACCTTCTGATGAGCTTCCTGCAAATTAAAGAAAGGACACTGATTTAAAAATGATTCAAAATATCATTTTATCTTAGTAAGTTCTATCACTATCTGAATGATCCCTGTGGTCTTTGGTCTAAAATTAGACACTATTCGCTGCTTTCTTGTACCGCATTATTATAATATTCCCTTTCATTGGGGACATGACAATCCCTGTGGAAACAGCTTGGGAAAAAAAAAAAGGAATCATAAGCAGTTAAAAGTAAGTGAGAAGCATCAAGTTATTAGGCAAGGCATTGAAAAGATAAATGGCTTGTGAAGGAAAATGTAATTAACAGGTTACACTGTATATGTTTGCAAAATACCTATGATGCATGAAAATGTTTTTGTCTACTTAATTTTCCTAAGATTGTGTGTTTATATTTAAATTAATTAAATGCAAACAGCCTTGTGCTCTAAATAATTTTGTGGTAACTGATATGTGCAGCCGAATCAATAGACTGTAGTTAAAAGTGGCTAACCCAAACACTTGTGGTGTAAGGAAAATTTCTCACTGGTGAGGACCTGAGAATGGGAGTTCCATAGGGTAAGTTACTGTCCTTGAGGAGAAGGAATCCCAATGCCTCAGTGTGCAACAGCCAGGCCTTCCATACAAAGAGAGACTTGCAGCTTATTAAGTTTTTCAAGGAACACAAGCACCTTGACAGTAGAGATCTTCATCTATTTTGTTCACTGACATATCCCAAGTGCTTAGAAAAGACTAAGTGTTCAATAAGCATTTGCTTAATTAATGAATCATTGAATAAGTTAATTAATAAATTGCCCCAACAGCTTAACAGCATGATACGAGAGCAGGGATTTGACACCCTAAGTCTTTATTTTAACTTTCATTGGCAATGTGATACTGAGTAATCCACTTGATATTTTGAGACTTGGTTTCTTCATCAATAAAAATGGGGACAGTAACTGTGGAAATGAGGTTAGAAGAAATAGTTGATGAGAAAGCATATGATAAACTAAAGGACTGTGGTGTTTATGTAACTCCTTAAAGGCAGAGATTCTGCTTTTGCGTTACTAATTAATTTTTCAATTCCCAGTGCTCATGTATTATTTATTTTCCAATCCCCTTGCACACATCAGTCCATAATAAGTGTTGGTTAAAATGACTTGAATTTCATGATGGCTAGTACATTTTACATGGGGAAGTAGGGAAGAAAGCAAGTTGGCCTTGAATGAGAAGTCACCGCCAGAAAGTGTCTGAAGTTGCTTCATTACAGTTTCTAAGATCTGAGCTTCTTTCTCAGTGTGGAGTCTCTCAGACCAATTTCTAAAATCACTTTGATCAAGACAATTATCCCCCCTCATGTAAAATTACGACAGTGTGTAACTAAGTGACTGGCTCTTTGCAATACAGATCTATTCCTGACCAAATGGTACCACGTTTTCAAATGTCCATGTTTACTGATACCATATATAGATATGTCCATGTGCATGTTTCTGTGCCCAGGAAAACTTTCTCATTCCCATCTTAGAGAGAGATTAGATTTCAAATTTCACTTGTAAGACTCTTATTTAAGACTTCCTTTGATAAGCATTAAACATTCAGAGCTCTGTGTTAAGTAAGTACTGGAATATGGAGATGACCACTCTGTCTTCCCTGCTACCTCTGACTGTGACTTCCCATTTTCTAGGGGCAAGGAAAACAAGGAGAAAACTAGCTTCTATGGGGTCATGAGCAAAAGATGCCTTCGTAGCAATGCAGACTTGGAGGAGGGCATGGAAGAATGAGATATTTAGCAGGCAAAATGGAAAGTCCCGAGTGATTGTTTCGTTATGAGAGTTGATGGAGTGGATATAATCTAAGATGGTTGTCTGGGTGATGGCTTTAGTGAGTAGGTGAAGGTTTCACTGTTTGCTAAAAGAGAGACACTCAGAAGATAAGCAGTTTTAAAGTGGGAAATAATTATTGCAATATGTATAGTGCTTAGCATGACTCTACTTGAGCAGATAGTATCTTTCCAGTAGTTTACACATAGGCCCTCAATATATAATAAATAAATTCAATGAATCCCTGCTGTCATTTAGTAACTATGTAACTTTGGATATGTCACTAAAGCTTTCTAAATCTCTCATATATTTTCTTTTCAGTATACGAACATTAGTATCAACTTCATAAGATAATTTTTTAAAAAATAGAATAAAAAGTGATACATAAAATGCTTAGCACATGTTGTACCGGTATA